GCATGTAAACCTTCCAGTCTGGCCCCTGCATCACACACTGCATGTAAACCTTCCAGACTGGCCCCTGCATCACACACTGCATGTAAACCTTCCAGACTGGCCCCTGCATCACACACAGCATGTAAACCTTCCAGACTGGCCTGTACATCACACACAGCATGTAAACCTTCCAGACCGGCCTGTGCCTGCACACGGCTTGGCCAGAGGCTGAGTGCCAGCTCCTACTGCTGTCCCCCTGTAGTGTGATCCGCAGTCTCTCACTTGATCCTTGGCGCTCTGGACGAGGCTGGCTGAGCTACAGGCACGCCAGCTGCCACACCCAACTTCTACATTTGTGCTGCCATCTGAACTCTGGCCCTCACATGAGCACAGCAAGGATCTGTTGGGCCGTCTCCCTGGTACTGTATATATAACTTTAGGTGTAACTGTGTTAACACGTCAGATATAAAGGTGACCAAACGTTTGCTGTTGGGAGAGTCTCACGACTGTCGGGACTAGAACTGAGCCCAGCAGCCTCAGGGACGCACCTTGCGCAGCACAGCACGGGTCTCCTCGATGAAGTCAGAGCATATTTTCCGGGCCACACCCAAGCTTGTCTTCTCGTTTGCATCTGAGATCACTTCGCCAAGAAGTACCTTTTTCCAGGACGTACTGGAATCAGAATGTCCAACAAGATGAGTTCGGCAGGTCCCCCAGCTACGGGAGACAGCGGTCACCTGGCAGCATCGCACACAAGCCATGCCCCTCCCTGTTCCTCTGGGCACAGGAGGTTCGCCCCTAAACCTGTGATACCGCTGCAGTTCCTGAATGGAAGCCACAGTGTGGTCATCTGAATGTAGCCGGCCCCCACACGCTCACAGAGAATGGCACTATCAGGAGGTGTGGTCTTGTTGATGTAGGAATTATGTCACTGGGGGTGGGCTTTGAAGTTTGAAAAGTCCAAGCCAGGCCAGTGGCTCTCTCTTCCTGCTGCCCGCAGGTCTAGATGTGGAACTCTCGGCTCGCTCTCCGGCACCTTGTCTGCCTGCACACCACCATCCTCCCCGCAATGATGAAGATAGACTAGACCTCTGTTTAGTCAGGGTTTCTCTTGCTGTGACGAGACACTGTGACCACAGCAACTCTTATAAATGAAAACATTTAACTGGGGCTGGCTTCCAGTTTCAGATGTCATCATCGTCATGGTGGGAAATAGGGCAGCACACAGACAGACATAGTGCTGGAGAAGGAGCTAGGAGTTCTAAGTTCTATATCTTGATCTGCAGGCAGCAGAAGGAGACTGTGTACCTGTGTATATGAGACCTCAAAGCCTGCCTCACAGTGCACACTTCCTACAATGAGGCCACACCTACTCTACAAGGCCACACCTCCTAGGGCCAACTGTTCAAACAAATGAGTCCATGGGGCCATTCATCCTCAAACCTCCGCAGCCTCTAAAACTGTAAGCCAGCCCCAGGTAAATGCTTTCTTTTACAAAGTTGCTGTGGTCATGGTGTCTTCACAGCAACAGAGCACTGACTGCGGCAAGTGTCACCTACAGTCCACACGGCTGGAAACCAATTGTGAGACTTTTTCACGTTCTATGACCCACTTGCCTACATACAGTAAAAAATGATAAGACAATTGTGCATACATATTTTTCTATTTTTCTTTATCTACAACTAACTTTTTCTTAATTTTTTCAATATTTCTATATGCAATTATTTTTTAGAAAATTTAATTCCCATGGAAGTAAAACTGCTGTGGTGCCAATCAGCCCAGAACATGACTCAACTACATTTCTGGGATTAAGACCAGGAGGAAACTTACTTCTGAGTCCCCATAGAAAAGAGTAAGACGTGCCGGAAGAACGACAGAGCTGTGCCGGGGCTGTTCCTACTCACTGCTGGACACTTGCCTAACGTACTGGGCAGCAGTAAGGCAGCTGCTGTCAAATCAGTCCTGGGCCTGGAGGAGTTCCAGGGATGACCAGAGCACAGCCATGAGGGTGGACAGGCAGCTCTGAGAAGCCACTGGTAGTTCCTTAGGGATATTAAGGAGCCTAACCAGGGTGCATGTCTGCACTGGGGCTCCTCTACCTGCCTCCTCTCATGGAACAGTCCTTCAGCAGGGCTTCTAGATCAACCCCAGGAGAGAACTGGGGGTGGGGGAAACACGGGACCAGACAGGGCACAGTTATGTACTTGCTTGCTGCAAGGAAAACCCGCCTACTCAGAGACACGCCTCTGGTGTGCCCATGCTGACAGTGGCACCAGGTCACCAGGAGACACCTGGGGACAGCTGGCCAGAGTGCGGAGTACTCCTAAAGGCTGGGTGGGTACTCAACAGTGGCACCAGGTCACCAGGAGACACCTGGGGACACCTGACCAGAGTGCGGAGTATTCCTAAAGGCTGGGTGGGTTCTCACAACAGCAGCACCAGGGCACAGCCTGCTCTTCTGCCCTCCACTGCTAACTCCCCAGACAAACGCTTTTAATGTTTACCAAGAAGCAGGCACCGAGGAAAAGCAATGCAGGAGCCGGGCTGTGGTGGCACATACCTTCAATCCCAGCACTCAGGAGACAGAGCAGACAGATCTCTGAGTTCAAGCCCAGCCTGGTCTACAGTGAGTTCTGGGACAGCCAGGGCTACACAGAGAAACCCCGTCTCAAGAAACAAAGAAAAGCAATGCAGGTGAAACTTACAATTTCTCAGCTTCCAGACACAGCAACTTAAGAGCTGTGAGCAGCCTCCAAGACGGTCCATCCCATCCAAATGTCAGATTTCTACAAGAGAAGACCGACATCAGCAAATCTAGCACTCAGAAACGGCACCATGGCGAACACCTAAGGACCCTGGCAGTGGCTTTAACCAGGCACAGATGTTAGGTCACCTCCACAAAGGTCAAAGTAGTGTAAGATACTGAGTCTGTGGATTCTGTGAATAAAGCCAGGGTACAGGACAGTCTGTGGTTCATTCCACACAATGGAACTTGTGTTCTGACTCTTCTGGTATGGTTTTGCCAACTTGATACAAGCTAGGGTCACTGGACAAGAGGGAATTTCAATTAAGAAAAATCTCTCAGTAAGATCAAGCTATAGGTTTGCCTATAAGGCTCTTAGTGGTTGTTGGGGAAGGCCCCAGTCCATGGTGGGTGGTGCCTGCCGTCCTGGGCTGCTGGTCCTGGGTTCTGTAAGAAAGCAGGCTGAGCAAGCCACTGAGAACAAGCCAGCAAGCAGCTCCCTCCATGGCTCCTGAATCAGCCCCTGCAGGTTCCAGCCCTGCTTGAACTCCTGTCCTGACTTCCTTCAGAGACAGACTATGATGTAGAATTGTAAACCAAATAAACCCTATCCTTTCCAGCCTGCTTTTGATCATGGTGTTTTATCATAGCAATAGTAACCCTAAGACAGGGTGAAAAACCATTTTCCAATCAATTTCTGTAAGACATTGAACCTGGTTTAGGGGACCACAGCAAGAGGCCTGGTAACCACACCACACAGTTCACAGTGAGGCCTCAGATCATCCCGGAGAGCAAACACGCAGCTACCCCAGCCAGCAGCCTCACAGTTGCAAGCCATGGAAAACCATGATTTATACAGAAAAGAAGATGTCAGAGGGTGAGTTTGGGGGTCTGTCTCTCACTGCCCCTGACGCCAGTGGATGGGTTCTGCTAGGGGTCAGCCTAGCTTGTGATGATAACCCCACCTGAACATGACCCACCTCACGACATGGACGGGACTGTTTCAAGCTTGACTCTCACAGTCCACTCCTTGAGTGTCCACAACACCGAGCACAACTTTAGCACAGGGTAAGACCTAATAAATACCCAGCCATCAGCTAATACAGAGGCAGGACCAGAACCCTCAGTGTTTGCATGGAAATTCCAAAAGCACTCACTCTGTAAAGCCGCGCTCCTTCAGAATGGACATCTTCCTGTGCACCTGTTTGTCAGCTGCTGGGAGGTACTTAACCAGCGTCTCTAGGTCGGAGAGAGATTATGTCAGAGGACAGAACTCAGTGCATGCCCTCCAGCTGACTTCCCTCCCATGACCACCCCATATAATCAAGAGTGCTTCCTGACCCACACCAGTGTCCTCCTCAGGGCAACTCCCGAGGTCAGGGTCCCTGAAAAAATGTAAGGTTTCCAAGGCTGAGGGCAGAATGTGGAAAAGCGAGGTTCACACACACACACACACACACACACACACACGCATGCACACACAGACACACATGTACACACACAAAGACACACAGACACACATGCACACACAGACACATACACACATACACATGCACACATGCACACGCATATACACATGTGCACACACGTGCACACAGACACACATACACACGCATGCGCGTACACGCGTGTGCACACACAGACACACACGCACACACAGATACACACCACCACCACTAAGCATATCCACAGTAGAACAAGCCAAGACGAAGACGCCAGAGCCCCTGCTGGGAGACAGGGCCAGGAAGAGGCTGCACAGGAACACAGGGAGGATGGATGGCAACTCTGTCTGCAGCAGTCCACGATCAGCGGCTGCAGCCACACGTGAACATGTGAAAACCGACAAACGTTTTTGAAGGAGAGAGCAAACAAAAGATGTCTGTTTGGAAGTGATGATAAGTTCAGTTCTGCATTTTATAAAACAAAAACAAAACAGGGCTTTGGGTGTAATTCTGACAAAAAACGAGCCTTCCCTTTCCTTCAGTGAGGGACTTGCAGATGCCAGGCAACTCTCCTGCCTCTGAGCTGATCCTCAGGCCACTTCTAACCAATGTAGCTGCTGTTCAGTGATTTACCCAGCAACTGTCTGCAGTTAGAGCCATCGTACGGCAACTGCGAGACCTCGGATGAGGCCATCTCAGAGCTGGCTCTCGGACTCACTGTACAAGGCCCTGCTCGCATTTTCCTTTTAAAAAATTATTACACGTATTTATTTTATGTGTTGTATGTGCAACACATAAGGACAATTTGCAGCGATTAGTTCTCTCCTCCTCTCCTCCCTGCAGGTCCTGAGAATTGAACTCACACCATCAGGCTTTGTGGCAAGCCCCTTTACCCACGGACCCATCTCAGTGGCCCAGTTCAGGCTCTTCTATCTCTAATCTAAGAAGCATAATTGTCATTCTGCCTAGAGGGTGGACAGCATCTCTGAGAGGGTCTACATCCATCGGAGCCTACACATAAATACCTCGACTATATGCTGGGACGCTCCAGCCACTCACCCATGTGGGCTTACTATGTTTCTGCTCAGTACAGAGATCTGCATCCGCTCAGCTGTCAATCACTTCCTAAGCAGCTCTCCTCCCACTCCACCTTCTCAGTTCATCGCAGCCTCAGAACCAATCAGTTTTGTTGTCTTTACTGCAACATAGACATCCAATCAGCAGAGGCAAGGCTAGCGCTCCCTGAAGCCACAAGTGAAGGATGCCTTCCAGCCTCCTTCTACTACAGCAGGACCCGACACGACCTCAGGGAGCACAGCACTGACACCAACCTCCGGGGACAGGAACACAGGCATGAGGATTGCAGGTGGACACAAAGCCATACTCCAGGAGCAGCCGCTGGTTATCATGGGGGCCATAGCAGATAAACACTTCCTCGTGCTTCCGACAGCGTGAGGCCGTTCTGATCTCATAGCAGCCGGTTTTCTCATTGAATGCTGCTTTTACCTACAGGGGAAAGGCATAAGATTTCTCATTTTAGCCTAATCTCAAAGGCTCACCAAGTTACCATATTAACTGTAGTACCATGCAGTTTGAAATGCCCGGTGACAAAGCCGGCCACAGGTGGGGAACGGTACAGCTGCACTTGGGCCTGTTTCCTCATCTCACCTTTACCTGTTGGTGAGGGAGGAGGTCCAACCACGGGCTCTGAAAATGGCCAAACACATGGCCTCTGACTCTGGTCAGGAATGGAAGACAATGCGGTGGTGCTAAGACCATCGGTTGTCAAAAGCCGTGAGGCTGGACTTGGCCACAGTTTCATTTGTTTATAGTCCGTGAGCCTACAAAGGTCTTTTGCAGCTCTGGCCCTCAGGCTCCCATCGTCCAGCTGTGGTCATGTCCTCCCATGATTGTCTAGAAAATCACTGAAGTGCAAATGCCCACAAACACACCAGTAAGATCAAAGCGAAGCGGCTGGGGACTGAGCCCCTATGTCCAGCATCCTATGACCTTTCACCTAACACTGGACTCGCATGCTGGAGACTGTGGGAAATGCCTCCCAGGGCCAAGAAGACAAGCAGGACCTTCTGGGGTCTTCCCACTGTCGTGTGAAATGACAAGGTGATACTGATCTCTTCCTGGTGGCGTGTCTCTTAGGAGACAGCAAAGGTGCAGATCCCAAACCCTAAATAGGTTTCGGGTGAGCTGACGGAGCGCTTCCTCTCGGCCCTCCAAGCCTGGCCTTCCTCGGCTAGCCTTTCTCCCAGCACGCCATGCAAACACATTTATCTCCAGCGTGTCCAGTGAGGAAAGGGCTGAGGGAGAGGGCGTCGTGGCTATCATTAGGAGTTCTTTCATGGCCCGCAGACTCCTGTTCACACAGGTTCTCATCTGCTCCATAATCAAGCCTTGTCCTGGCCACTGAGGCTTCAAAGAGGAACAACAGAAGGCCACAAAGCCTTGAGTCCACTGGAGAGGCACAAACAATCCCCAGTCAGAACAAAGACACATGAGCAGACAGCTACACCACCAAGTGTAGAAGGGGTGGGGCAGGAAGGAAAGCTAGAAAGCACCCCGGTCCTGAAGGCTGGGAAGGAAAGCTAGACCACAGGGTCCTGAAGGCTGGGAAGGAAAGACGGTCTGGACTGAAAGGCCCAGGGGCTCAGCACAGGGCCCTGCAGGCCTGGAGAGTGATGCAGTACAAACGCAGAGAGCTTGCTAGAATTACATCAGGGCTGGGAACAAAATGTGGCTGCAGAAAGATTGGTCTAACACAGTTACCTGAAGCAGCTTATACCTCCACTACTTCATTCTCGACTCCACATGTTGGAATTCTAAAACAACAGGACACGTGTCCATGCCAGCTTCTCACCTGGACATGTGGGCTGTGGTTGAGCAGATCCAGGTAGGGAGCGAGCGCACATGTGTCTGGCTCCGCGGAAAGGCTGTCCTGCCTCGTGGACCGCAGGTACACAGCTCTGGTGTTCACAGTGCACCAGGCCCACAGGAAGGCACTGTAGCTGAAAATGCTGTCCACAGACTCCGCAAACAGAGGCTGCAGGGAGGCGAAGAAGGCTCTGGAGGAGGCAAACAAGTCCTGCACGTGGGCTCTCTGTTCCTCCGCCTTTGTCCTTAAAGGTTCGGGCAGAAGATCTACCACTTCTGGCTCCCAGCAGACCGGGCAGGTATACGAAGAGGGTAAAATGTCCAGGTAAGACTTCCAGAGGGACTGATCACCTAGGTGCTTCTCTGAGACTAAAAATGTGCACAGGGCCAGCAGGGGAGATGGAGGAGGCTTCCACCTTGTAAAATGAAGACAAATCAAAGGAATTAAAGTGTAGCCTCGGCCAAACAGTTTGGTTTGCTTCAGAGGAAATATGCTCAAGTTGTTGATGCTCTACCCAAGACAGAGGCATCTTTCCTATGGCTGTGTCTGTCCAGCGCACCCAACACGGTCTATGTTCTCTCCAGTGCACCCAACATGGTCTATGTTCTCCCCAGAGCACACCCAACACAGTCTATGTTCTCTCTCTAGAGCACATCCAACACAGTCTAAGTTCTCTCTAGAGCACACCCAACATGGTCTATGTTCTCTCTAGAGCACACCCAACATGGTCTATGTTCTCTCCAGCACACACTCAACACGGTCTATGTTCTCCCCAGAGCACACCCAACATGGTCTATGTTCTCTCTCTAGAGCACACCCAACATGGTCTATGTTCTCTTTTCCATCAATGCCATTTCTGTGGTTAGTAGGTAAGAGTCATTTTTCAAAAATTAAATAAAGAAAGAAAGAAATCTTGTTTCCAGCCTGGTTTTCCTGGTGAAAGCTTTTTTATTTCTTTCTCCCTATTCCCCCTTTTTTTCTGAGACAGGGTTTCTCTGTGTAGCTCTAGCTGTCCTGGAACTCACTCTATAGACCAGGCTGGACAATAATGTAGGATGCCCCTCTGTATACTGTGAATATGTTTTATTACCATTGGTTAATAAAGAAGCTGCTTTGGCCTATGGCAGGGCAGAATATAGCAAGGTGGGAAAGTCAAACAGGAAGAAAGAAGGTGGAGTTGAGGGATACAGCAGCTGTTAGACAAGCAAGATGTGAGGTAACAAGCCATGAACCTGGATAGTAAAAAGTATAGAATAATAGAAAGGGGTAAATTTAAGTTGTAAGAGTTGGTTAATAATAAGCCTGAGCTAACAGACCAAACAGTATGTAATTAATATTAAGCCTCTGAGTGGTTATTTTAGGAATGGCTGCAGGACCAAGTGGGATAAAAAACCTTCCAGTTACAGGCTTCAAACTCACAGAGATCCATCTGCCTCTGCCTCCCAAGGGCTGGGATTAAAGGTATGCCCCACCACCGCACAGCTGAAACTTTCTCTATAAGCTCCTGGGTTTCACCCTATAAAGACATATACTACAGGGAGGGTGAGGGGTAGAAAGATCCAGAGGTGCAGCATCAATCCAGCGAACACTGGCTTACGGAACTATTTTGATTTAAATTATTTATAGTTAAGCAATGCTTAAGAGTCATTTAATAAAGCAAGCCACATTCCAGTTACTCAGCAGGGCATTTGTGATTGACATCTTAGATAATGTGAAACAAAGCATCTCCACCACTGCTGAGTTCTACTGGGCAATGCCGACAGATAGAAACTGTCCGCCCATTAGACACTTTGAGCTTCTGTCCTAAACGTATGGGTTCTAATACAAATTGTGTGGCTGCATCTGAATAACTACTCACAAACAGCCCCTACGGCGTACACAGGCTTCGCAATGCTAACATTCCCTTTTGAAGTCCAGATTCCCACGTTACCCACTTCTACTGCAACCTCTGAGTGATTCAGAAAATAAGGATTCAGAGCACCCTTGCCTCTACACAGGCCCATAAAGAATGGGGGCGGAGGCTTGGGTTATGTAACAGCACAATCTTTGGTTGAACCCTCAAAATGTAGAAATCACTTCTGCTGAGGTTCTCACTCTATGCTCAGGATACCCTCAAACCAAAGCTCCTCACCATGTGCCCTGGAACAAGGATCTCAACCTACACTGCCTGATCACCTTCACCCCTAGCTAAAGCCAACTCCTCCCCAGTGTCAAATCCCACACTGCCTGCTCTCCTTCATCCCTAACTAAAGCCAACTCTTCCCTAAGGCTAAATCCGTTCACAGCTGAAGAAGTCAAGCAGGTACAATAGGGTCAACCAAGACAGGGAAGAAGCATCTGCAAGATGCATCATGTACACCATTCCATTTCATGTTCACTTCTTAGTAAATAAGAACAGGGTTCACACCCGCACCCCAGGCAGCCTACTCAAGACCTTAGAAACACAGTTCCCAGTGAACTAAGAGCAAACCTAGAAGAGAATAAATCTTTCAAATCACACCAAGTGTTTCTAGGCTGGACAAGAGCATGGCCATCTCATGCCGTGTCAGTCATGACACATCTGCAGTGGTAGAAACTCTCAAGGAACCGTTCACACTGGCACCAGGGGTGCAAGGGTCACTAACTTCTTGATATAGGGCCCTATGGAGCTACGAATCACACCAGCTGTGCAAGGTGTGGTCACTTACTTCTGGATATAGAACCCTACGGAGCTTCAAATCACACCAGCTGTGCAAGGTGTGGTCACTTACTTCTTGACTTGGGCCCTACGGAACTTTGAATCAGACCAGGTGTGCGAGGTGTGGTCACTTACTTCTTGATGTAGGGGCCTAAGGAGCTTCGAATCACAGTGTCCGTGGTGAGCAGACAGCTTTCAGGCAATGAAATAATCATCTCTCCCTCCTTGACAAAGAGAAAGTAGAGTTTAGGACACCTCAGCTTTGCAAACACGGAATAGCATCTTTATATATCAAGAGCCCCCTAGAGTGCAGACAGAGCAGGCCTGGCTCGCAATAAGAGAAGCACAGACTATATTAGGGCCATTCCTATGCTAGACTCTGTGGAAGTAAAATCTTTGCTTTACCAAGACAATCAATGATAATTAGCTTGGCTTAAAAATTAGCTGTGATTAACAAGAGACCAGCATCACTGAAATAAACCTGGGGAGTACTTCCTCAGCACCAGGACATAGAGGCTGTGGTCCAGTGGGGAATCCTTCAGATGGCACTGGTTTGAAGGCAGGAAGGGATCACAGTGCTAAGGCTCAGCACTGTGAGATCCATGAGAGGTCACTGATGAAGGTGCAGCCTCTGCTGCAATAGAAACATCATGACTGAAGAGGCCTTGAAGAGAAGTTGAGGTTTGGCGATGTCAGAAGCCAGGAGAGGCCATTGGTAGAGATACGGCCTCAACTTCAGCGGACACTCCAGCGTATTAGAGAGCCAGGAGAAGGAGATGACCACGAGGACAGCAGCAGGTGTAGAGTGAAGCTGGCCTCAGCCTACAAAACAAGCTGCTATGGAGGGCAGAGCCCAGAAGATATGAGCCCCAGGCCAGACAATGAGCGACACAATCCCGGGATGCACTGCTGGGCTCTGATTGAGCATGGCTGTTTTTAAGCCTTGGTTCTTCCCTTTTGGACTTAGGAAGTATTTTTTTTTTTCCTCTAAGTCCCAAGAATTTTGTTTATTGTAACAAATATTTTCATGGCTCAGAATTTCTTTGAAACAAATAAAACTAAAACAGCCGGAATAAAGTATTTTTAAAAATAAAAGAATTCAAACCACCAAAAGATACATTTTATATAGTAATAAACAAAATATAAAAATGGAAGCCAACTGAGAAAGACAACTAGGTAACAGATATAAGAACTTCTGACTTTGCCTGTGTGACTTCTCTTTTCATTGCTGCACACCTAAAACAGGTCTGATGAGAATTAAAACAGTCTTGCAAGACTTACTTAGGTGTTAAAGAAAATTAATGAAAATGTGTTTAAATATTTTAGAAATAATGTTAACAAAAATCTCTCTCTATACTTCGTCTTGCTTCAGCCTCTTTCTTAAAAGACTGCATCCAGTTCTGCACATGGATAGCACAGCTTTCCCTGACAGCACACTTCCACTTTACCACAGTGTGATTTACAGGAGAAGTGTTACCCACAGGAAAAGAAGAATTTAACATGGTGGATAAAGGACTGCAATTCATTCATTCAAATCACGCATCATCGTTGGCCTGTATTTTGATAGTCCACTTCTTCTCAAGCCTCACTTTCAGATCATATTCTATTCTGTGATGTTTCTTATCAACACTAGAAGGCTCCACTTCTGTGAATACTTGTCTCAACAGCTATTTCCTTGAGTGGATCTTCCTGAAGAAGGCTGCCCCAGCGAAGAGGCATGTCTCACCTAGCCATGTCCAGGCCCCAGAAGAAACCCTATTGTCTTCTGAAAAGACAGGAATACCAAGAAATCCATTTATCTAGTTACTTACTTACTTAGTTTTGAGACTCGGTCTCTTTATGTAGCTAGCCCTGACTGTCCTGGAACTCACTCTATAGAACAGACTGGCCTTGAATTCAGAGATTTGCCTGCCTCTGCCTCCACTAAGGTGAGGGTCGCCAAGCCTGCCCTTGAAGCTTCCTGAATTTGCCATTACAAACGCTATCATCCCCCCAGAAAGCAGTGCTAAACTAGGAATGTCCTCAGCTCCTCGGAGCTCACAAGATGTGTGCTGTCTTTGGCAGGCTATACTCTTCACAGATGTGCAACTCTGAACAATGTTCTCACGTGTCCCTCACATCCGCATACAAAGCAGCAGCTTCTCATGGATGAGCCCAGGATAACACTTCATTTCACAGCATCTGTCCTTGGAACTCTTCAGGATGTTAGCATTTGCACAAGGTGAATAAAGCACAATATTAGGGCTGAGGCATAAGGTTTGTGACCAATGGCAAGTTCTGAAGAACTTGCCTCTCATGATCACAAGCTGTCAGGCTCCTGATCTCCTGGCTCTCCAGAGAGCAGTGGAAGAAGGGTTTATGCCTGACCAATGGGAAGATGACTGGAGAAACCTTTGCTTCTGCTCAGCTCCTGTGTCCAGAGCTGCAAGGCATCCTGAAACAGGGAGCAGAATGGGCTAGTGACGGTGTATCTGTGGCTTCTTTTCCAATACTGTTTCATATCATGTGTTTCCCGGGACCTCTGCAGTGTCCGTGTTGAAACAGCAGACCAGCGAGATTGGACACCTATATGTATCATGTCTAATAGATGTTAAATCTCATTTAAGCTGCCAACTGGCTCATGGGAAGCAGCTGCATCTAACAGACCCGGTCATCAAGGCCTGGACCTGACCAGGAATGGTAACATTCCCTCCCGCTTCAGTCAAAATCTTCTCACAATGGCCAAAGAACCTCTCTAGTTTGTCCTTAATTCCTGGAGGGCCACACCCCCGACTGTGACATCAGACGGCAGCAGCCCCAAGAAGAGGTGCTGTCATGGTCCCTGCAGAAGGCAGAGCTACAATGCAGACGTACTTAGAGGTGGGAGCCACAGCAGGCTGTGAGGTCTGGGAGGAGGGCTGCTAGGCCCAGCGCCAGCTGTCACCTGCCTGCTGTCCTTCTCCACCAGCTGTCCATCCGTCCAGTCCTCTTACCACAAGGACTACTCATCCAGCTTGGTGCCCAGCCCACTCCTGTCTCTGCAGCTGCCTCAGCTTGTGGGTCTGCTTCACTGTGGGGTACCAGAATGCCACAGTGGACGAGGGTGACCATCAACTTCGGGTCAGCCAAGATTCCAAAAGATAAGGACCATCACAGCGTAGAGGTGACAGCTCTATAGAGGGTGTCGTTACCCAAGGTAAAAGCTGAAGGCCTGGGTCCCTGCACTTAGGAGAAATCAGGCCATGGAGGAGGAGAGCAGCCAAGGTCCAGAGGCAGCTGGGGGAGGAGGGAAGGCTGTGTGCCTGGTGGTGCTATTTTAACCAGTCCTTGATTTTTCCAAGGTTTACACTACAGTGTTACCAGGGAATCTTGGAGAGAAACAAGAACAGAAGAGCTATGATTTAATGATGGCCTATTTTTGTGTCAGGGTGATAGTGGTTAGTTTTTGTCAACTTGAAATGAACTAGAGTTACGTGGGACAGGAGGCCTGCTGTGGGGTGGCCTGTGGGCACCCCTGTAGGGCATTCTCTTCATTAGTGACTGATGTGAGGGCACATCCTACTGTGGAGGATGCGGCCCCGGGCAGGTGGTCCCATACTGTACAAGAGAGCAGGTGGAACAAGCCATGAAAAGCAAGACAGGAAGCGGTTCCCGTGGTCTCTGTTTCAGTCCCTGCCTTCAGATTCCAGCCAGAGGCTCTACCCTGACCTCCCTCGAGGATGTACTATTAACTCATTCCTCAAGCTGCTTTTGGTCAGTGTTTCTCACAACAACAAAAAACTTGAGCATACTCATTATAAAATATGTATAATATATAATACATCAAATATACATTCAGGATCTGTACCTTCCACTGCATATAACATACATCTCTACTTTCAAAAAGTTTCATAAAAACACACATCTTAAAGTGCCTGGGCCCAGGTACTGTGGCGGCATACACCGGAACCCCAGCACTGCAGAGGTGGGAGCAGAAGGATGGAGCATTTGCGACTGGCCTGAGTTACATGCTCAACCTCCAGCCAGGCTGGGCTACGTACAAAAACCCTACCTTAAAAACTGGAAGGAGAACAGCCAGCGTGGCTGTGACTTCACAGTCTAGGCATGGTCCCCCCCAAGCATGGCTGCACATGCCAGCTACGGCTCTCCTCCGTGTAGCTACGGCTCTCCGTCCTAGTGACAGCCTCGGAAACAGAAATACTCAGGGGGAGCACTTGCCACACAAGCCTGGTGTGAGCTCAGCCCCAGAGCCCGTGTAAAACAGGACAGAGAGAACCAGCTCCAGAGCTGTCCTGTTCCACACATGCACAGTGCCGTGTGATCACACACACACACACACACACACGCACGTCATCAAAACACACACGAATAATCTTTATTTTAAAGTGGTTTAAGTAAGAAAAAGTAGAAATACTGCACCCTCGTATGGCTCTACTCATGAGTACTGGACTACACACTTAAAAACGACAAAAGAAAACAACAGCATTATAAAATTACAGCACAGAAATGTACATTCTTTTGGCTGAACACACATACAGGACTAAGTTGAGATAAATTAAGGAATTTAAAAATAAACTTAGGGAATTGGCTGTAGCATGGTGGCAGAATGTGTGCTTAGCCTGCGTAAGACCCTAGGTACAAACACCAGCACAAAAACATTTTGATAAACAAATTTATGTGATTTAAAAATAAATAAATTGATTTGTAACTATTGAGAAAAATGTATAGTGGATGGTACTTTTAAATAGCACAAAAAAAAAGAAACAAAAGAAAAAGGGGACCACAGAGATGAGTTACATCATCAAAGTCATTTTCCAGGCAAGGAAACAGAAGCTGGAGGCCTGAGCCATGCTGTGGGATGGGCTCTAGGGCCAACTCCCAGCATGTTCCTGCTCTCCGGCACAGCACACATACCAGACAAGAGCAGCCCACACCACCATCACAGACCCCATCTAGGCTCTAATGTGCTACAGTACACTCAGCACCCTACCCGGGCTGACTCTTCCTCCTAAGCGTTCACTCAGAGAGCACAGGGCCAGGGAAAAGACAGCAGGCCTTCATACCTTGGCAGCCCCTGGGGCCAGACCATCCTCAAAGGGAAGGGCAGGAAACCAGCACTCCTACCATCCCCTCCTGCAGTTCAAACTCAGAGCAACGGACTGAAGGTCGTGTCCTGAGGACAGATCATCTGTCCCCTGTATGCTTGTTTAAGTGACAACAAACCACGCTCAATGCTGTGTCAGCAGAAGGACTTGGATGTCTGTCTTTACACAGCAAACCAGGCTTCCTTGGCATAATCCTAACCAACATATCTATTTGGTAAGTAAGAGATATGGCTGCACAGGAGAAGCACATTTGATTCCCTTCATGCGAGCAACATGCATGTACATACATACACACACACACATGCACACCCCCCCACACACACAAAGCAGGGGTCAATCTTGAACCCCCGGGATAAAGAAGCTGTTCTCACCTGCAGTGACGTTCTGCTCATCAGCCCTCTTCCTGTTCCTAGAAGAATCAAAACATGGAGAGGTAAATCCTACTATACCTTGAGATCTTGGGGGCCCCCTTGAGGACTAAAAAAAGGTCCTAACAGTGCCGTGCTGCAGGTAGGTCTCTTGGCTTTCCCTCCCAAGGAGATGGGATCAGGAAGCTATTCTAAAAGATGACCTGGCCTCTCTGTGGGTTTGTGTTCCTGGAACAGCAAAGCTGGGTTCTAGGTCAAGATCTAAGGACCTTGACACAGGGACAATGCTGACACTTCCCAGGATGAGCTACAACCTAAGAAAGTGACTCAGTGACCAGGCTTTGACATACAAACACAGAGTTAAACGTCCTGTCCTTGGCTGACAATATAGTTCACACCAGTGGAGACGTTGACCAAAGACGGTCCTGTGAATGTTGTCAAGAACAAAATGGAGGCATTTGTGTCAAACCCTGACAGGTGAAGTCAGAGAGTCAAAAAGGGAGACACTTCATACTTAATTGTCTTACAATAGGAACTAGCACAAACTATTCTGCTAAACTCTAACTTGACATCATGACATCATGACGTCATGAGAAGACACCTGCCCAGCAGTCAGTGTCCGACCCTAGACTCGCACTGCCCTTGGGATTCTGTGGCTGTGGACAACTGTTTCAGAATAACTACGTAACCCTTCCAGTTTACCTTAAGCCCTTCCCCCTTTTGCCTCCCTGAATGTATCCACAGTTCACTATGGCAAACATCCAGCTCTATAACCTACAAGTGACAATTATCCTCTGTGTTGCTATTCAGACTGGCAGCTCGAATCTTCCAGAGCCACCATGTGCAAATGGCCCACAGGGAGAGCCATCATGTCCACCTCTCAGCTGGGGCCACGTGGGAAATCAGTCACCCTGGGAGGTAAAAGAAGTAATGAGCGGCAAGAGGGAAAGTGGTCGAGCGTGTGAAGAACAATGGGTCCCAACTGCAGAACTGTCTCTGCTACACCAGACCCTAGTCCTCCCGAAGGGCACATTGTCTGCTCTGCAGATGCCACCCACCCATGTCCATAGGACATTGCCCAACTTCTGAGAAATAGATCCAAACTAATGCCAACTTAGCCTCCATAAGAAGCTATCAAATTCCAGAAAACGGTAACCTGCCTCGGTTCAGATTACCGTGGGAGCGGGCAGAGTGCTCCTCCAACATGAGAGAAGAGACCCAAACTGCCTGAGGGACAGTATTTGCTGAGGGCCACACCAAGGGTCCCTCCCCTGGAGCCACACCATGGCACAGAAGAAGCACCTCAAGTGTGCCTGAAGCATGCTGCACCCTCAGATAACTGTACCCTTCCTGGGCCCGGGACAATCCCAACCGCCTGCACGGTTCCCCAAACACTGCTAAACCTCAAGGGATACGGCTGAGCAGTCCTACGGTCAGAACACAAGTGTCGTGCCTTTGAGGACTCAGCCCAGGTCTTTCCTTCAGGCTGAGGTTCCAGGAACACCCAAACTTCTAACTTAACAGTCTCAAGTTTTCTCATTTCAAGGCTGACCGCTTTGTGCTGGCTCATCAATAAGGAAGTCCGTGCCTGGGTGCGGCATATTCGCCTAATAGTCATCAGCTCTCTGTCTAGCGGTGGGAGCCACAAAGTATCCCCCTTCTACATTATCATGCCCATTGCTACTGCCATCCTTCTGGTCTTGTGTGTGCAGTCATTTCCACGAGAGACTGTTTCACAGCACAGCAGACATCCTGGTTTCCGGCTCTTACACACGTTCTTCCTCAGAGACATTCCCCGAGCCCCAGATGCAGACACTGTGGTGTAGATGTGTCTGCTGGGGCTGGGTACCCATGATCTCTGCAGTGCGTCCAGTTGTGGTCTCTGAGGCGGTCTGCCCTAAAGTGGGTGGCAGCACACTTACATCTGAGGCTTTGGAGATAAGAACCACTGTTTACCTTCCTGGGACTGGGTTACCTCACACAGTGTGATCTTTTCTAGGTCCATCCATTTCCCTACAATTTCACACTTTCCTTTTTCTGTACAGTTGAACAGAACTCCACTGAGCACACCACCATTTTGACTACTCGTTCATCCGCTGAAGAACATTCAGGCCATTTCCATTTCCTGGCTATTGTGGCTAGAGCAGCAATGAACACGGCTGAACAAGGATCTGTTGAGTCCTTGGGACATATGCCAAGGAGTGGATACAGCTCCGTCATATGGTAGATTCACCTTTTCAGTTTTTTTGAGGATTCTCTGTACTGGTATCTGGAGTAGAAGATCCATCTGCCTTCCTGCCAGCAGTGAATGGGGGCATCTTTCTCTACAGCCAGCCAGCATGTGCTGCCAGGTGTTTTGTTGACATCAGCCATTCTGACCGGGGTGAGACGAAATCTCAAGGTTGTTTAATTAGGGTTCCCCAAGTGCAAAGGAAAATGAGCACTGTGAGGTGTGTCCCTCAGGTTCAGGTCACTGGTTCTATCGGTCACATGGGCTCTTTAAAGACACATCTAACGCTGCCCTCCCACAAGTGCTAAGACTTTGTCTTCACATGTTGTCCTTATTCATGGCTACATCTACTTCCCTTTTCTTTTTTCTTAAATTTGAGAGAAGGTCTCATTATATAGACCAGGCTGGCCTCAAACTCACAGAGATCCGCCTGCCTCTGCCTCCTGAGTGCTGGGATTAAAGGCGTGTACCACAGCTGGCCTCATGGCTTCATCTTTCTTACTTTTATTATTCTCCATCTTCAAATGTAAGTTTTCTTCCTCATCTGTCATTCCCTTCCACAGAAAAGCAGAGTAAAGCACAAACGGCAAAGCCCAAATACAGCAATAGATGTGCTTCCGGAAATGACAGAGCCACTGCAGGAACCACCCCTGCCTCCCCCCACCCCGTCCCTTGCCTTCCACACGACTCTCACCTGGAAAGCAGGCAGGTACTAAGCCTGTGTCTTCAAACTTCCTATCTTTCAGCCATCTTTTCAGCTCTATAAACTCAGGTCTGTGGCTCTCGTTCACTGTCAGGAGAGGCAGGGACACACCACATTAACAGCGTTGTATCAGACAGGCAGATCACAAAGGGAATGAATCTCGCTAAAAATGAAAATGATACACACTAAACAGAAAAGTCATTTGCTATATGATTATTTCAATACATGCACAAAAATATTTGATAAAAATCTAACATCAATCTGATAAAAATCACCAGAAGGAAGACAGAAGGAAATTTCCAAGCCAGATAAATAATATACAACAAAAACACTGGTAGGGGGTGAGATGACAGGGCAGGGGCTATGGCCATTCCCAGCACCACCATGCAGCTGCCACACTAACATGGAAATGTAATGAGTCTGTCTCTGCCCAGCAAGCCAGCTCCCAAACAATAACACTGAGAGTTACCGCAGAAGCCCGGCCTATAGCTCAGGCTTATTCCTAACTTGCTCTCAAGCTGAAATTAACCTGTTCTATTGATCTACATTTCACCATGTGGCTTTTTACGTCTCTTTCATTCTGTATGTCCAACTCCTTCCATGTCTCATTGGCATCTCCTCTGCATCTCAATGATCTCCCCTACTTCCTCTCTCTGTGCCTATACCTCCTGCCTAGCTATTGCCCATTCAGCTCTTTATTGAACCAATCACAGCAATGTATCTCCACACAGTATACAAATAGCCTACAATAGTGAAAAGTTAAGTGATCTCCTGTAACATAAGGAACAAGAAAAAGATAGACATCTCTCATTTTACCTCAAAAAGATAAAAGCTATTTAACCAGTGTAATAAAGGAAAATAAATAAAAGAACCAAAGTGGGGGACAAAACAAAATTTTCAGAACACATAAGTATAATCATGGAATATCTAAGAAAAATATCAAAACAACATATGAATTTAGCAAAGTTGTAAGATAAAAAATCAATATATAAAAACTTAATTATATTTACATATATTAGTAATAACTAAAAAAAATCAAATTCCAAAAATGCTACTAAAATATAAATTTTGGATTGGGGGGGTTGTTTTTTGCTTTTTGTTTTTTGGGTTTTTTTTTTTTTTTTGAGACAGGGTTTCTCTGTGTAGCCCAAGCTGTCCTGGATCTCAGTCTGTAGACCAGGCTGGCCTCAAACTCTAGAGAACGTGTCTCTGCCTCCCAAGTGCTGGGATTAAAGGTGTGCACCACCACTGCCTGACAAAATATGAAATTCTTAATAGAACCAAATATATATGTAGATGTTTGTATAGATAATGACTTATACATCAAAAGCTATAAAATACTGCTGACAACAAGTAAAAGGTACATAATAAACATGACTTTTAGATTTTATGTTTCTTTTAGATATATACTGAAGATCTCATGAGAGCTGGAAATGGAGTCTAAAGTGAACAACCAGGGTTAGAAGACACAGTGTGGGGCTGGAGAGATGGCTCAGTGGTTAAGAAGTCACAGGGAGGATCTTCATGATGGTGGCTTTATGAGAGGGGACTGAGGATGTATCTCAGTGGTACAGCGTGCACTTATGCCTGAAGACATAGATCTGATGGCCAGCACCCCTTTCCAACAAAAGTAGGAACACAGATGTCCTCACCACATGAGGAACCAAGTCATCCAGAACCTTGATGCTACATTTTCCAGCCTCTACTACAAGTTATTCTGCTTGATATACTCGGTCTCAGAGAGAGAGAGAGAGAGAGAGAGAGAGAGAGAGAGAGAGAGAGAGAGAGATACTGTGGTAGCTTATATGTAATGGCCCCCATAATCTCATAAGGAGAGGCACTATTAGGAGGTGTGCCTCTATTGAGGTGGGTGTGGTCTTGTTGAAGGAAGTGTGTCACTGTGGGGGCGGGCTTTGAGGTTTCCTATGACCAAGACACTGCCCAGTACCTGGACCTACTTCCTGCTGCTGTCTGCCTGTCCACTGCCACACTCCCTGCCATGGCAAAGAAGAATTGCATCTCTCAACTGTAAGTCGCCACCTCAATTAAATGTTTTCTTTAACAAAGAGTTGAGGTGCTCAAAGTGTCTCTTCGCAGCAATAGAAACCCTAACTATAACGGAAATTGGTACCGGTATTGCTGTGATAGGCCTGACCATGCTTTTGCTTGCAGGACTTTGGACTTTGGCACTTTGGGTTAGGAAAGCAGTGGAATGCTTTAATCACTGCTTAATAATTCATATGAGTAGGAACAGGGAAGACAGTGGTGCTAAGCGTTACTTGAACTGCTGGGGGCTCAAGAGATTTCAGAGGAGAATTTTATTATGTTGCCTAGAGATCGTTGTTGTGATATTTTGGTGAAGAATGTGGCTGCTTTGTGCCCTTGTCTCAAGAGCCTGCCTGAGGCTAAAGGGAAGAGTTTTGATTAATGCTGTGTGAGCAGACCCTCCTCCACACAGGGCTCTCCCACGAGGAACACTGTGAGCACACAGGACCCCTCCCCAGTCACCTCCTCTGGAGTCACAGCACCGTCTTCGCCTTCTGACTCTCCCCGTTCTTCCTCTTCTCTTCTGCATATTAAAACGAGAGCCCCTGCGTCGCTCAACCTAAAATAAGGAGAGTCTCAGCCCTACTCACTAGGTGGATGAGTAAATATACACATACACATTTTGGTGAATGTTTTCATTTTTTTAAAAATCCTTTTCTTAAAAGGTGTGTACACTCTTAAAAGGTGTGATAAATCAGGATCCCTGCAGTAACAAATAACCATAATGTGTCCTCTAAACCTGTGGGTCACTTGGGTCTCAACTATGGAGGTCACGGAGGTCCCACATCATATATCCTGCACATCAGATATTTATAGTACAATTCATAACAGTAGCAAAATTACAGTTATGATGTAGTATGGCACAAATTCTAATAGGTATTACTAATAAAAACCCACAGTCAGACCGAGGGGTTAATGCTGGAAGATCAGAGAAGCAGAGCAATCAGGCATTAGAGTTCTTACCTCTACCACTGCTCAGACCAAAGGAGCGATCCTGTTCTGACTGTTCCTTAGACTGACTACTTCAGACTGAGGCCTCAGACTGCATCTCTGAGCTCTGGTCTCCTCCTGCCTTGTCTTCCTCTCTCCACCCAGCCACATCACTCCTGTCTCCCTAGTGCTGGGATTAAAGGTGTGGGATCCCAAGTGCTGAGATCAAAGGTGTGAGCTCTGTTTCTCTTTGAGACTGGATTCAATCTAGTGTATCCCAAGGTGACCTCGAACTCACTGGAATTAAAGATGTGTGCCCCCACCGCCTGGCCTCTAGTGGCTTAGCTCTGCGCTCTGATCTTCAGGCGAGCTTTTTTTGTTAAAACAAACAAAATAGCACTACAACATAGCAGTGAGATAATTGTATGGCAGGGGTCACCACAACGTGAGGAACAAGGGTAGCAGCATTAAAAAGAGGAAACAAAACCATCTGGAGGTCCTGCTGACTAGATTCTCACAGCTGACTTCCTAGACGCAGCCTTTTGTGACTTTCACAGTCCAGTGCCAGCTAACGTTGATGCCAGCAGCGCTCAAGGACACACGGGAACTGGAGACAGGGCTCAGTGAGTACGTACATAGCATACATGTAATGCACAGATTTCTGTGAAGGCAGAACACCCACACACATAAAATAACAATAAATACCAAAAAGAATACACAGTCCTTGAGGCACCCATCAGCTCAAAAGTCTTAGAAAGAAGAAATAAACCCCCATCAGTGTCAACTAGATTTTTAGACACTAGGGTCTAGGAATAAATATAACTACGTTAGAGAGAAAATGAAAACCAAGATAGGAACATAAGCCGGAGATGAGCAGGAGACAAAAGAATAACTACTGCTTTCTACATTAGTCTCTCGAAAGCTTTCCAAAAAGGGAAAATCCAGGAAATACAGGCAACAGAGTGGGAACCAACTGTAGGAATTAACAGAAATTAATGCAAGCATTTTTGGAAGATGTACGCTAAGACATAAAACTAAACAAGAAATAGTGAGGAAAAATAAAGTTGAAGTCGGGCATTGGTGGCACACACCTTTAATCCCAGCACTTGGGGGGGGGGGGCAGAGGCAGGCAGATCTATGTGAGTTCAACGCCAGCCTGGAGTCAGTTCCTGAACAGACTCCAAAGCTACACAGAGGAAACCCTGTTTCTAAAAAACAAAATAATAATAAAATTCAGGAAAATTCTAAATTAAAAGATGGGGGCAGCTGGAGAGATGGCTCAGTGGTTGAGAGCTCCTGCTGCTCCTACAGAATCCCTAGTGCCCAAGTGTAATCCCAGTCCTAGGGGAGCTGATGTCCTCTTCTGGCCTCCACACGCACTGCACGAACTGTGTGTAGGTAAAACACCTTTCTTTATACACAAGATAAGACAGATCCCTTTGGGGCCTGCCTGGGGGGGGGGGGGACAGAGAGAG